TGAAGCCACTAATAATACGACTCTAGTGCCACTGCCCCCCTCCTCAACTTGCAGCCCAAGGTCAACACTGTTGTGCAGAGGCTCTCCTTCTTACAGAAGGGTCTTCCCAGCTCTACTGCTCTAGAAGTGACTTGCATTTACAGGGCTGCCTCCATTCTCTCACTTGCCTAAAATTAATCATGGTGTTTCAAATCCAAAGGCTTCGACCAGAATGCTAACCAAAATTTTAGGAAGCACTGCCTTCATTTCTAACCTCATGTGTTCACAACTTGTTCAATGGCATGAAGCCTGGCAGGATGTGCACAGACAGGCCCACATGTACGCTGAAGTGGAACAATGTCTCTTATCATTCATTGAACCCTCGGATGTACCTGTTCTGTGTGAGCTGTTCGGACAACACACTATTTATCATGAATACCAATCCTACATGCTAAGACATCAGGAAGAAACAGCTCATGTTACTGGTAGGAAATCCTGTACAGTGTAAGGATCTACCTGAAGAAATGATAGTGTCGGCATAGTCCTTTGGTAGCAGCAGACTCAAAATGTTCTCACCTTGTCAAACTCTATTCAAACAAAACAAAACAGATAAAGCCAAGTGATGGTGGCACATGCCTTTAATCCCCGCACTCTGGAAGTAGAGACAGACCAGACTGTTGAGCCTGTTGTACAGATCAAGTTCTAGGCTATGCAGGCCCATGCAGTGAGACTGTCTATAAAAAATCACTCTCCCTGCCAACTGCAAATAACAATAGGAACACAGATAAATTTGGAAGGTAATGGGGGAGAAGGGAGCTGCTGCACGTATGCCTGTTAACAAGTGCTTGAAAAAGGCTTTGCTGGAAGCATTGGCTTGTCAATAGCCACCTTCACAATACAAAGAAATGAACACAACACTGATTTCTACAAGACACAACTAGACTGTGGTGCTTTGAATGACAAGATGTTCCCTGTTTGGGGAGACTTAGGAGACATGGCCTTGCTGGAGGAAGTGTCTCACTGGGGACAGTTTTGAGAGCTTAGAGATGTGCTGCTTTGAGTTCATTCTGTTTTCTGCTTTTGATTTGAGATGTGAGCTCTCAACTAGAGGTTCTCTTGCTTTGATCTCTGAGTGTTGAGGTTATAGGTGTACATGGCCATCCTTCCTAAAGATCTGGAGGGAAAAGTACTTTCAAATGATGACTGCTTGTCTGATGGCTCATTTTCACAGGTGACCTGGGTATAACCCTTAATGAAGTTGGGTAATTGCAAATGCCCCCCACAGACTCATGTGTTAGAATGTTTGGCCCATGGGGAGTTGCACTATTAGGAGGTGTGGCCTAATTGAAGTAGTTGTGGCCTTGTTGAAGGAGGTGTGTCACTGTGGGAGCAGGCTTTGATGTCTCCAATGCTCAAGCTATGCCCAGTGTGGCACACAGTCTCCTTCCACTGCATGTGGATCAAGAGACAGAACTCTTGGCTCCTTCTCCAGCACCATGTCTGCCTGCACACTGCCACGCTTCCCCCCATTCTGACAATGGACTAAACCTCTGAAACTGCAAGCTAGCCCCAATTAAATGTTTTCCTTTGTAAGACCTGCCTTGGTCATAGTGTCTCTTCACAGCAATAAAGTCCTAAATAAGCAGGGATTATTTATAAATGAACTTTCCAGACGTGTGGTAGTGCACACGTCTAATCCTAGCATCAGGAGGCAGAAGCAGGCAGATTTCTGAGTTCGAGGCCAGGCTGGTCTGCAGAGTGAGTTTCAGGTGTAGCCAGGGCTACACCAAGAAACCCTGTCTCAGAACAACAAAACAAAACAAACAAATGAATGAGTGAGCTTTCCATGTTTGTGGCATAATATTTATAATTGATATATCTTTTAGTTAAGCAGTGGTTATCCCTAAACAGCTGTATAACCAAATCACCACACAGCGACTAGGATTTATTTAATTAACCTAAAGCACAATGCTGGGCAATAGTTATTCCATCCTAAACCTCCAAGACCACAGAATTTCCTACCATTCAGATTTCACCCATTATAATTGCTTTTAGTCATATCTTAGGTCCAGTTCATTTCTCCATATGGGTCCAAGACCTCAAGATTCTCCTCCTCTCCTCTCCTACCTCCTTCCTCTTCCTCCCACTCCAGACCAGGATGTCCCACCCTACCCTCTCCATTGCTCAGCATTGTGGCTGGTTGCTTTAATTGACAATGTAGTGAACAAATGGTGGCATGTTTACACAAACTTGAGACAGGTGATGCTTAGCAATGTCCGGATTGAAGCCAGATAGTGGAGGAGAGAAATCAGCATTTGAATGAACAAAGGTAAATTGTATACATTTCAAAAGAACATTATACCAACACATGTGAGTTGAAAATAATTTTTTTCAGAGTCTTTCTGGGATTAGAGGAGTGTGCCATCACACCCATATAAGGTGACAATTTAAAGCTATATTAAATTACATAATACCTGACTAAAATCCACGTGGGAGTGACTTCTTTTCTACCCTATTTTCATTCTCATCATCTTTCTCTCTCTTCTTTTCCTTCTCCTGAGGATCAAATTCAATTCTTTATGCAGGTAAGGCACTAAGCATTTGAGTAATTTCTAAGAAAAGTGAAAATTCTGAAATACCAATAGCTAAATGTAAATCTATGTCCTCTGGCTTTGTTAACCTCTCTGCAAAGAATTATTTATTATATAGCAATATGCACAATCACTTTAAACAGTTCACTACAATCACATATGTGTTTGCAGCGAGCCCTGCTCTATGAGAAAATCTCAACATGGCAGCTTCTGTCTGCATAAGCTTTGTCTCATGAAGCATCACACATACAGGGCCCAAGGAAAATTTACAGGAATTTTTTTTTTTTGGGGGGGGGGTTAGGAAAGCTATACGAATGACATAAGACATGTTCTTTTAGTGAGTAGACTAATTTTGTGTACATTGGAGGGTTTAAAAAAACAAGATTATTTACAAGATATAAAGGTAAAGAGGAAAATATAAGCAAGGTGGGAAGGAACCAGCAAACAGAAGAGACAACCCTGAAGAGGACAATAGGTATGAAGTGCATTTTGGTTAAGAAAGCTAAACAGAGCAATGGGCTATTTTTCTATGAGAAAGAATTCTGTGTGGCAGAATGATTTTTTATTGTGTGGATTGTCCTCAAATGAGAAGAAATTGAATAGAGCCAAAGATGAAGTAGGTTGCAAAGGGGCTGAGCAGGTGGCAGGTTTGTGAAGAATGAGTATTATGAAAACCATCTGTGCCAGACACGAGTGTGGGATACATGTATTCTCACTGCAAGATCATGTCAGTGTTGGCACTAACATTACAGGTTGTACCTGTATGAATCTCGGGGTGCAGAGCTAAGATCCCCATTCCATGAGTTGAGAGGTCAGCTTTGATGGTTACAACAGGTCTCAGCTCATTTGTCATCTGACTCATTCAATTGTTTATCTTCAAGGCTCGCTTGGTCCCTGGTACAAACCTGTATTTGCCACTGCTGTTCATTTTGAACTCTGTCCCTTGTGCATGGGAAGCCTCTGAAAATGTATGAACTGTAACGAGATCAGGAAGGAACCAGCACTCTGGAATGATAAAGCCCACAGAACAGTAAGAAGAGCCTCACAGTGGACTTATGAGAATTGCTCCTTCTAAGCTTCTCGTTCATAGTGCCTGACATGTGGGCACTCGTGAACATGGATCTCCACTTACCTATCATAGGACCAGATCAGACTAAAATCCACCACTTCATAGAAAGTATGTCTCAAAGGGGGAAAATTTTAAAAAAGCTGTTCAAACAAGAACCACTTTTGCCAAGTACTAATGACAGATAAAGAAGACAAAAATTACCCAAAGACTGGCTTGCATACATGTGTTCTGACAAGACTTATCTATCATATAAGACTCCACCAGCACTATAATCTTGGGCAGTGGTCACCACAACCTTACACCAGAAATACGCTCTGCAAGGATGTCTGTTTAACCTTAGACTACTGACCACACCCCACCCCTACCCCAGTTACAACTCTTTAAGCCAAGTGTTAGTTTCAAAATACTGTGTGTAATCCTCAGGCTGCTTTTGGTAATCGTTCAGCTGTATAATCTAAGATGGCACCATTAATTCTTATCCCAATAGTCTGTAAGCCTCTTTCCCCTTTTCTCACTGCTCGGTACTAACAGCCTTCCAGAGCCTTCACTGCACATCTTACGTATATGCTCTGGCACTGAGCTACATTCTCAGTCCAAAGGGAATCTTCCAGATTCGTTATTTAGATTGACCTCTAGCAGCTTGCCTCCCAGGACATGCTTTTATCCACGGTTTGTACCAGTCTGGCTAGCCTCAGCCCCAGGGATTGTCTTAGCTCTGCCTTCCATTCCTCGACAGGGGCACTGCAATTACAGAAGCTTGTATGGGATGCAAACTCAGGTCCTTCCTTGGGCTTGCATGGCTACCCACTGAGCCATCTCCTCAGCTTCTGGAGTACTCTATCAACAGTTTGAGGCACACAGAATTCAGTCTTTTCTGTATGTCGACTGTCCCCCATATAAAATGCCTGCAATAATACTGACTGTCTTGGGGTGGTGAAAGAGGCCGGAATACAAATCACCTCTTGTACAGTACAGTACACCAGGGACTTGTGGGCCCTGAATCTGAGAAGCCATTCTTCCTCCTCATGGGAACACAGAAGAAGGAGGAGGCTACAAACACAACACTGAATTCTCCCAGCCTCTCTAGGAAATGAGTATTTTACAATGCTTCTGCAAAAATCAGAGAGGATGAAGACACTCCCACATCCCAAACGTCATAGAAATCAACTACCTTAGATACAAAAGTATCCTTTTTATTGTGCAGTTTTCAGAATCTAGATGAAAACAGTTAAACATTGACTTACAAATGTTGGGTCAGTTAGGGACAAGAACTAGAGACAGTCCAGTCAGTTTTATTAGAAAACCCGAAGACTTAAGGCAGTCACCGAAACATTTTTCACATGACAATCTCCCGGGAAAGATTCATAAGCTAACCTGTTTGTGCCTGGAAAGCCAGCCTTTTTCATTCAAACATGTCAACTCGTCTCTGAAATTGCTCAAGTCCACATTCGGGGTCCACAGTGGTTCTGAGAGAGTAGGTTGTTAGCAAGATGAAGCTGAGTCACCCGGCTATGAGAGAGGCTGATAAAGAGTCCCCAAGGGGGGAAACAGTAGAAATGCAGCAGCAGCATCCTGCTAAGGTGATATCACTGATACTCCTTATTCCAGAGAAGAAATCCGGACCAGTGTGCCACTAACCCTGACCAGACACGGACTTTGATCACCTCGTGCGGTCCTTTCTTCCCGCCTTTCTAGACAATCTTACGTATTTCGGAATTAATTTCCGAGCCACGGGTCCTCGGAAACGCCTGGTGCCGGAGGATGAGCGTCGGAGGGAAGACTATTACCTTTGCACGTAATGGATCAGAAACATAGCCAGCAGAACCCGGTTGGGCAGCTTGACCAGTCGCGCGGCTGCAGGACGGAGGCACTCGTACAGCGGCCAGACCATCGAGGGCAGCTCCTGTAGGAACCAGGCGGGTCGCGCCGGCAGTTGGCGGCCGTGCCAGTGCGAAGAGTAGCGGCCATAGGTAGAGCCCACCAACTCGAGCGCGACGAAGACCACGCAGGCCATGAAACCCTGCAAGTAGACCAGCGCGTCCAGCAGGCGCAACTCGTCAAATTCCATAGCTGCGGTCGAGCTGCGAGCTCCATGCCGAGGCGTCTAAGTGGGACCAAATATAAGCCCAGGAGGAGGGCACAGAGCGGCCCACTGGGGCCAGGCGCTCCAGCAGTGCGTACCTGCCCAGGGGAGGGGTCGAGTCACCTGTTCGGGCGGGGACAGGACCACAAGCCAGCAGCATCAGACAACACCCTCCCGCTGGGATCCAGGGGACAGCCCAGTCCATAATGAAGCCCCGCCCCTTTAGGGGAGGGTGTTTTAGCCAGAGTCCCGCCTACGCAGAAAGCCCCGCCTTTTCCTGATCTTGGAGGGCTACACATTGGCCCAGAGCTCCTTTGGCAAGCGGGGAGTGCAGCCTAAGTTCCGCCCCCTCAGTGCCACGGCGGAGCGCCAGAGCCTTGCAACACCCACAAAGCCCGCACAGTCCTTTGCTCCAAACAGAATCGCGCTCCGCCCACCTCTGAAATGTAGGCCACGCCTCCCCACGGTCTGGCTCCCTGACAGCCACAGGTCTGGCAGCGCTCCACGCCTCTCTGCGCACGCGCCATCAACAGGTCGTCCATGCAGGTGCCTGAGCCTCCGTGTAAGGCAGGGTGATTCACGCTCAGTGGTTTTAGTGGTTGATTTGAGGAACCGCGTCCCTGTACGAACACCACCCTTTTCTCGTGTGGGTTTTCGTCGACGGTGTGTTGTGTCGTATCAGGCATATTTCTTGACTGCCCTTGCTAGGACCCAGCCTGGGGGGGGGGTCCTCGGGATGCAGGCGGAAGTACAGCGTGCGTGCTCAGTGGCGGGTCGCTGTCTACGCTCCGCGTGTGCAGTCGCGTGGGCCATGGGGCGGCGGGCGCGGGTCCGGCGGCTCCAGCAGCCACCGCAGCCTGAGGGCGCTGAAGACGGCACCGAGGGAGGCAGGAAGCGCGGCCAGGCGGTGAGAGGAGCGCCTCGTGGGGTCGGGCGTGGGGGGCTTGCTCGCGGGCCGGGTTAGCGGGGCCCGGGACTTGCTCGCCTGTCGCTTTCCTGGCAGGGTTGGGAAGGTGGATATCCCGAGATAATAAAGGAGAACAAGCTTTTCGAGCACTACTATCAGGAACTCAAGATCGTGCCTGAAGGAGAGTGGGACCAATTTATGGACTCACTCCGGGAGCCACTCCCAGCCACATTGAGAATCACTGGATACAAAAGGTAATTCTGTTGTGTCTTTTCTGAGGTATGGGCTTCGAGGCTTTCGAGAGGGAGATACGGTATAGAGGAGTAGCCTGGGTTGCTTAGGCGTTGCGTGTGGGAGATCAGAATATGAATTGAAAGTGCTCGGGTCCATCTGAACAACACGGAAAACTTGTGACATCTAATTTGCGTCTCTCTGCCTGTCAGTGTACGTTATCTCCAAGATACATTGCAGTATTGCATTTACTGTATTTTTAAGTTGTGTCCAACCTATGGTCCAACACAGTGCGGTAAATTGGAGGGGTTTTGGTTTTAGTAAATTGGTTGTGTTGCTTTCCAAATTGAATTCTTAGATATTAACGATGTCCCAGTGTTAAAAGGCTACACACCTCTAGGTTATTAAAGAACATCTCAGAGTTGGTTTGAGTTTTGCAGTCTTGAAGTTATTAAGTTTTATCAAGTCACTATTTTTAGATCGCTGTGAAACTTGCTTATTTCTCTCGTAGCCATGCAAAAGAGATTCTCCATTGCTTGAAGAACAAGTATTTTAAGGAATTGGAGGACCTGGAGGTAGATGGACAGAAAGTTGAAGTTCCACAGCCTCTAAGCTGGTAAGTACAAAATAATTTCTCATGTTGGGTGTTTCTTAGATTTGTTTCCTTCTGGGGTGCATTTCTTAGCTCTGCAATCACTGTTGGCATAAACAGCCTGGATGTACTTTTCAGGCATATCTTTGTTTTTCATGACAGGGTTTCTCTGTGCAGCTCTGGCTGTCCTGGAACTCACTCTGTAGGCCAGGTTGGCCTCAAACTCAAGAGATCCACTTACCTCTGCCTCCCAAGTGCGGGGATTAAAGCTATGTACCAACACACCTGTTCTTTTCAAGCATCTAAATGTTCTTTTCTCTAATGCTTTTATTAACATCAGACTGGTGTGTACATGCTAATAAGTGACTTGTAGTTCATGTTTCCTAAACTGAGTTTAGTTAATTGGTTTTGGGTCCAGCCTCCTCTAATTTGAAGTTCCTTAGCGGCTTCTGTTTACAATCCAGAGTTTCCCACATCAGAGTTTCAGAGTAGATGCTTTCTTTAGAGAGAGAGAACAAACTCCACTTGACAAAGCCTCAGCACAGGCTGCTATGGCTTACATACCGGTGTGTTTCCCAGCACAGCCTACAGGCAGGTTTAATCTGCTGATTCCAGTATGCAGGCAGTCCTGCTCCCACAGCCCTTCATTACCTATGATTGCTGGTGCCTAAAGGGGCAGAATTCCTTGTTCAATACCCGAAGTGCTCCATAATGGTTCGGATACTCTGCACTCTGAGTGAACTCACAGATTTAATTATGGTTTCATATTTCATGTTTCGGGATAGAAATTTCACAAAGGAAAAATATTTTAAGTAGTTGTTATATAATGGTGAATTTAGTCTTTTCTGGTAACTTTGTGGGTTTTGGCCTTTTTTATGCTTTTTCTTTTGAGACAGGGTCTTATTGTGTAGCTCTGGTTGGTATGGAAGTTGCTATATAGACAAGGTTGGCCTTGAACTCAGAGGCTGAATGCCCCTGCCTCCCTTCTGTTGGGATTAAAGGCCTGGACACCATGTCTGGTGTTTTGCCTGTTTATATATTGATGTTGTCATTTTTTATTTTTAGGCAGCTTTTTTGGTAACAAACCAGCATTAGAGTTTTGTTAGTCATGGAATAGAACTTGCCTTTTATCCCTGACCATTTGGATAGGTAGGCATAACACACACATTTAAACGAGAACTGAATGTCAGACACTAAAATCAGTGTGCAGTAGATTTTCCAAATACAACACTGGGCAGTTTCTATATCACTGCCTCTAGGGAAGCAGGATGAATATTTCAGTTGTTTTGTTGGCCTTCCTGCTTGGATGGAAAGGTGTCTTGGGACTCAGAAGCCCAGGAACCACAGAGCTCTGAGGAGAGAAGGACTCCAATGGAAGGGCATCCTGAGACACGGGAGCCCAGGAATCACACAGTGCTGAGATAAGGCCTCCTCAGCAGAGGTCTTGGAGTTCCCAGAGGAGGGTATCCCCTGGTGAACTGAGTTGCTCAGGAATCTCAGCCTGGCCCCACTTTTTTTTCCCATCTTTCCTTCTTCTCTTCATTGTTTCTTGGCTTCTTCCAATGAGAGTCACACCAGGCAGCAAGTCTCATAAAGGAGATTTATTGGAGGGTCCAGGAAGTGGAAGAATGAATCCAGGGTTGACTGCTCCTGCTCCTGGGAGAGGACAGCAGGGAGCTGAGCAGACAGCCTTTACATAAGAGGTGGAGCTTTCTAGGACAGATTTTTTTCAAGTTGAAGATTGGTGGGATTTCAAATTCTGAACTTGGGGGAGCTCAGGGATTGGTGACTTTCTGTTCAACCTTTTTACCTAAATTTAGCACAGTCTGGGAAGGGTCCTATTGAGGGACTGGAGATGACCTTTGTGACAGTTACTGAGGCTTGAAATGATGTTATAAGAGTGCTAGGAAGATTTGAGAGGTCTGAAGGCCTGGCTGCTGGAGTTCCTTGGGCAGCGGCCTGGTCGCTTTCCTGTCTTGAGGATTTATGAAGTTTAGAAAGGGAGTCCACTAGAGTCTGCATGAATAGCTAACAATTTTTAACTGCCTGATAAATCAAACAGAGCAGCAAAATGCTGTGTAAATGAGGGGTGCCGTGTGTAATATCCACAGTCAATTTCATTTTCATAATTTAGTAGTCAGAACTTATCACATGTATCTTAAAACATGGCTGGTGAGTCAAGTTTTAAGATGCTAAAAGCTGAGTGTCTGCGTCACTTCCAAGACTCAAATTCGTCACTTGTATCTGTTTTCCAGTCAGCCTGACTTCATTGTCCCATTTGCTACCATGGCTACAAAATGGTATATAAAACCCTTTGACCTTTATTGTTAACAGGAGTTCATTGTCATACCTCAGGAGTAGCAGTTAGTACTGACACAGATTGATCACTTCCTGACCTAATTAGCTTGCTTTTGGGTTAACTAGACTTGGTGAGCACAGTGCTGTGGGTCACATCAGAGCCTTCATGTCTGCCGTTGAGGACAAGTGAATAGGGACAGGTCAGGTGTAGGTAACACCTGTCCCAATCACTGACCTCATAAAGAAAGAATGTCCTCATAAAGTGACACAGATGGCGAGAGAGGCTTCATTCTTCATTCTGGACTTGGTTAAAAATGAGTGCATTGGTGATTTCCAAGCATGGGGATATGTAGGATTGGGTTTTGTATGTAAAGCTCTTTTGTTGCCTTATAGTTTCTGCTTTGTATAGAAAAACAGAAAATGCATTAAGAAAGTCGTGATCAGGTATTAGTCAAGCATTTAAATATGTGCTATACATGCCTTATTGTATGAAAATGGTGATTACCTTGCTTTCTTCTTATTTAGGTACCCTGAAGAACTTGCCTGGCACACAAATTTAAGTCGAAAAATCTTGAGAAAGTCCCCACTGTTGGCAAAGTTTCATCAGTTCCTGGTTAGCGAGGCTGAGTCTGTAAGTGTGTTCTGTGGATATGCAGGGTCCTGAGCACACTGAGCACTGTTCATCGCATGTACACTGTGTTTTCCCCTGAAGAGTCCGAGGGGCCACACTCAGGACACACTAGCTTTAGTGTTGTGATTGACTAGTCTGCGGGCTTGTTTGGGTCATGGAATCATGAAGACAGTTGAGTTCACTTGTCACTGTTTGTTTTACTGTCTACTCTTGGTGGATTGACATGACTGTAGAATTTGGATGAGTGTAGGACCAGGCTGTCACTCATGGTACTTCTGTTTAGTCTGTTCCTTTTTCTTAGATTTGTAGTCATCTGCGTGTCTTATGTGTAGAGTACAACATTTTAAGACCACTTAGCAGACTATGGAAGTTGTATAGTTTACTTATAATGGCACTATTAATTTCATACTCTATGCTGTTGTATCTTGCCATGGATTTTTTTTCTATGTTGAACCTTTACAAATGCAGGTAGCCACGTGTAACTGTGGTTCTCATGGGTGCTATCCTTCTGGGTTGGTTTGGGTAGCTTCAGTCACTGGTCTGAAGCCTAGAGGCATTTCCAGTACAGATAGTGTCCTTTCATGTGATGGATAAATGTACGCTCTGGTGCTAGATAAGTGTCCGCCTTGCACCTTTTCTTTTTCTTCTTTTGGACTCTTTAATTTCACATTTAACCCAGGGGTTTCCTCTCTTTTGTCCACTTCTTTCTGGTGAAGTGAAGTATGTTGTGCCACTAGGTAAAGTGCACTTCTTACTCACCATGCTTTAGAAGTATGTGCTTCCCATATTTCTTCTCTCCTGATGCTATTACAACTTGAAAGATAGTCTTGGCTCCCATTTTTAGCTGTATCCGCCCACTGTGGCTTTCTGTCCACATAGGTATAGGGCGTAAGTTTGCTCGGCTTTCCCTCCCTGGATACTAAGGATTGGGAGCTACCACATCCCTGTCTGTACTTGGTCTGCCCAGCTCTTCATTTAGGTTGGTGGTTGAATAAAAGGTTAGCAGACCATTAGGGAGCATCAGGTTTGTGCTTTGAGTAGAGCAGGCCCTGGGGACTAGTGTGGTAGGTAGCCAGGTGGGTAATGTTGAACCAGGTTGTGGTAAGGATACATGGCTGTTGGGAAGAAAGGCTTTTGGGTTTTATCAGGAGCTAGGTAGTGAGAGCTGTGTAGCTGAGCACTGCAGAGTTTTGGAACCACTGTCACATGGGTAAACCGGAAGCTTAGAGTCTGTGCCTAGGTGAGTGAATCAAAGTTGAGTTAGGTGCCACCGAATCACTGCTGACCAGAAACTCAAGAGAGCAGATGATAGGTGACAATGTGAAGTCTGGGTGTCAGTTCTGATGGTCATAGGCCTGACTTGTCATGTGTCATATGATTGGCCTGCATTTTAGGTGCTGAAAAGCAGGTGGTTTGTGGGCAGCCCATACATTTCAGGCTGGTGATAGGGTTGTGACTGAGGCAGTACTAGACTTTCTGTCTGCATCTGAATGTGTATTGTCTGCCAGCTCTTATGCCCAGGCCCTCATAAAAACAACGTAAGGGCGGTGATTAGTTGCTCAAAGGATACAGATAGGATCAGTAGCTGATGTCTTGGCTTTGTAAGGAGTTGCTTAGATCTAGAAAGTGAATATGGAGGGTTCCTGACAGAGCAGACCCAGGAAATAGAAGGATATGGGGAAGGAAGATTATTGCTCCATGGTCACTTTCTGTCCTGCACTAAATTTTGGCTCCTGGCTGTGTGCTGCTCTGCAGATAGGGGACTGCCCTTGAGGACACTCCCCCAACCCCTGTGCGTGCATAAGAGGACCGAGACTGTGGTGCTAACCTCTAGCATCATATCTGATATTCTAATCTTGATGCTAGTAGATTCTTAATTATCTTTAGGTAGCAAGCAATTATCCGTTAATAAAAAATTTTTCCTGTTCTGTGTAAGATTCCATGACCTTTTCCTATTGCGCTATACACATGTCTGATTTGAAGTGCTGTTTTTCTTACTGTTGCTGTTTTTTCTCTCTAAGGGAAACATCGTCCGCCAGGAGGCTGTCAGCATGATCCCCCCACTGCTGCTCAACGTTGAGCCACATCATAAGGTAGAGTGCCAGACAAAAGACAGGTGGGAAGGCATTGGCAGTGCTGTGCCCACTCTGCTGAGACCTTGCAGTAGTGTTCGCCTTTCCCTTCTGTTTGGTAATGTTATGTATTCTAAGGTTTTTGTTCTTGTAGTTTTGTATTCTGCCTTACAGTACACATATAGTTACACATAAACTCTCTTCTCTTAAAGTGATTGTTTTAACAAATTAACTACACAGATAATTTTTAGTGGTCTTCTATAAATCACATTGACTCCATGTGGCCCATTAGTGCCAGCACTGTTCCATAATTTATAAGTAGACTGATGGCTGGCCTTTGACCATACAACCCTTTGGGAATAGTTTTAAAAAGAGACACACTCTTGTTTGTTTGTTTTTATAGATCTTAGACATGTGTGCAGCCCCTGGATCAAAGACCACACAGTTAATTGAAATGTTGCATGCAGACATGAGTGTCCCCTTTCCAGGTAATCACTGTGGGGTAGGAGGTGATGTTGTTGGGTTGTGGGAGAGGGAAAGTCCTCCCCTTTTCTCCTTTCTGGGCAATAGTCTCCTGTGGGTACTGAGAGTAGCACACTGATGATAAGTTGTCAAATCAGCACAGTCAGATGCTGAAGACCCTGTGTGTTAGACTCCTGTGTGCTATCTGTAACAGGAAAGGGGCCACACATGGTACACAGACTTCTGTGAACTTGGGTAGTAACCCCTGCTTTGTCCAGTTTCTGCCTTAGGCGAAAAGCAGTGGCTAGCCTGTTGTTTCTGGTTGTTGCTGCTTGTCCCTGCATTTGGAGCCCTCCACCATTCAGCAGGGGTTTGGGGCAGCAGATGCCACATCTGAAATGGGATGTGATATACAGTGCTGTGGGGAGGTTGCAGAGAGCTCAGGATCTGGCAGCCATTTCTGCAGTCTGCCTGTCTTTCCTGAGAGCCAGAGAGCTAGGAACAATATTTCTAGTGTTGGTCAGCTCAGCTTCAATCTATTCTGCTTGCTGGCTTTGAGCTACCCCAGCCCATTTCTGTTTTAATTATATACTTATAAATGATGTGGAGGGGTTTTGTTTTGTTGTTGTTGTTTTGGGTTTTTTTGTTTTGCTGCCTGTTTGTTTGTCATTTTTTTTAAAGCCCTCATTTTCTTGGTAGATAATGCTTTTCCTAAAACCATCTGTATTATATGTTTTTAAACTATTTCTGTATTGTTGGTAAGGAGCCTTGCTTAGGTGGCAGGAGCAATTTCACCTCTCTATTCCTGTTGTATTTCTCACTGTTGTGAAGATTTGGTTGTAAATGTTGTTAAGCAAATTTTGTCTTTTTTTTTTTTTTTTTTCCTGGAGTGGGAAGAACAAGAAGTGAGCAGGATCACCACTCAGGAAACTTCCCAGGATGATTGTGAGCTTGGGACACCATGTCCCAGAACCAGTTGATGAGATAACCAGCTGAGATAACAAGATTGTCCCAGGCCTGATTTTCATTTTAGAGCAGAGCCCTGCACATGGGCAGGGTTGTAACTCTGTCAGGTTTTATGTACCCTTTTCTTTACGCCTCCCTCATAATTAATAAGAATCTTAGAAAAGTCATTAGCACGACAGTTGGAACAAAATACATAGCTGCTAACAAATGAGTCTTGCGGCTTTGAGAGCTTTGGTTGTATAAAATCCACATGTAGACAGCTCCTTTTTCTTTTTCTAGAAAGTCTTGGTCTCAGGTCTTACGTTTCACAGCGCTTTCCTTTTCTCACCTGCCGACCCAGAGGTTATGGTTATGTGTTTCAGGGCATGATTCTACTTCTGCTGCATCTCACGTGACTACAATTTTATCTTCCTAGAGGGATTTGTTATCGCAAATGACGTGGACAACAAGCGCTGCTATCTGCTCGTCCGTCAGGCCAAAAGGTTGAGCAGTCCTTGTGTCATGGTGGTAAACCATGATGCATCCAGCATCCCTAGACTTACAGTAGATGTGGACGGAAGGAAAGAGATTCTCTTCTATGATCGGATTTTATGTGATGTCCCTTGCAGGTATTTATTTATAGTATTACGAGGCCAGAAAGCCAAAAATCTATGAGGATATGTAGTCACATGTACATTGGATGAGATTAAGTGTCACATGAGCACAGTGGTTCACCTGGTCACTGTGACCGGGGCCACGGAGCAGGTGTTGGCACAGAGTGATGCATAGCTCCAAGAGATGCACATGCGCACTCCCACGCCCCCTGAGTGTGCTCGTCTGGAGTGTGCACATAAAAAGTCAGGGCGTTCCACTAAGCTTGTTATATAGTTCAGTGAAAGAAAGTTAGGGGGAGAGACCTTGGAGAAACTCATTTTGTTTGTGTATTGATACTTCAAATTGAATGGCCTAAGTGTTAAAGAAGAAGGCTTGATGAGTGGAAACATTCTATGGAATGGCTGTTGATAAGGAAAGACCCTATCCTGTTATAAATACCAGTTCAGAAGTAGGTGAAACCCAAGCATTAATACTTGAACAGCATGCATTTGTGGAGCCCAGAGCTCAGAATCTGCCTATTACAATGCTTAGGAAAATTCTTTGGTAGGATACTGTTCTGTTAGGCAGTTGCTGCTTGTAGTAGAGCTTATTTGTATTGTGGCTGGTAGCACTGAGTGTGGCTGGGTTAAAAATGCGTGGGAACTGTTTGAAACTTGAGAATTCCATAAAAGTTAAAACATGGACTTCCTTTTAAATAACTTGCAGCATAGTAAGTAACACTTTTAACGCTCTGTGTGAAATGTCACATATTAAGTGGATGAGTCATGAATTCTCTCTTGTTTCCTTGGTTACGGTATTCTGATTAACCTTGAGGGTCCTCTGTTTTCTACCCATTCGGTCTTAATAATAACAAAATAAAATATTTTTTTATATTCTGAAATTAAGTTGACCTTACAAACTGTTAAAGTTTGTAAGAACAATTTCCTAAAGAAATTCCTGAAATTATGTTAGGGTTTCTTCTATGTGAGCCCTAGCATCTAGCCAGGGAGTCATTTTAAAGTAGGGATTATATATCAGAGCTTGTCTATCTTGTGGACCTGTTCCTGAAGCATATGGAAGTGAAGCTTTGCAGTTATCAGCTAGGGTAGGAACAAACCTGGCAAGCTGGTAGATGAAACAGGACAACAGAAGTCTGTCCTGTAAAATGCACACGGTAATAATTTGTATCAAGTCCGTGGAGGAAATGAAAATATTTAACTGTGTAGAAAAACAAGTTGTTAGATGGATTAAATTGGCTTGATTGAATTGATTGCTGTGGGAAAATGTTTGCAAGTATAATTCTTGTTTTGAAGTGTCATTTTTTATCAGTGAGGTTTCTCAGTGGCATTTATGCAAGGACCTGTGTTTAGGTGTACAGATTAGTGTTGGTACAGGTTGAACATCTTTGATTAAAGTGTAAAGTACTTCAAAAGTCAAAGCGTTTTGAGTCTTTGACAGATCTCCAAGTGAACAATTCCATACCTGAACTTGTGACAATTGACAGTCAAAACACTGCATATTCAAAATGCCATGTAATTATTTTCAGGCTGTGCATATGAGATGTATACAAAACAAATGGACTTTGTGTTTAGAATTGGTTCTCTTTCTTTATACTTTCCAAAGACACCCAGAACTTGTTTTCACCAGAGCATTGTGAATATAGGTACATGTAGCCTATGCTTCTCTCATGGAGACAGTCTCATCAATTGAATGAGGTTCTCTGCTCCTATTACTTCCTTTTGGGATTGAATGCTGAAGTGTCGTGTTCTGAAAGCCGAAGCAGAACCTCATCTGTGAGGATGGAGGTGCTTCTGTCAGTATCTAGAATACCTGCTTTGCAGTTCATCTTGGATGTGAAATGCCCATTAGCTGTCTTTCTAGGCACGGGTTCAGTTTGTTCAATATCTTCTTTTCAGTGGTGATGGCACAATGAGAAAAAACATTGATGTTTGGAAGAAATGGACTACCTTAAACAGCTTGCAGCTCCATGGGTAAGTAAATCAGTTACACTCTCAGACAGGATGCTGCCAAGATGCATCGTTCCCTGACTGACCATCAATAAGTGAGCACCTGGAGCCACATTTAATAGTCGCCTCATGAGAGTTTGTCTGCACACTAGAAGTTACTTTAAAGCAATGGTTCTTCATCTGTAGGTTATGACACTTTTAGGAGCACATATCAGATATCCTATATATCAAATATTTACATTATGATTCTAACAGTAGCGAAATTACGTTATGAAGTAACAACAAAGTAATTTCATGATTGGGAGTCACCACAACATGAACTATATTAAAGGGTAGCAATGTTAGGAAGGAAGGTTGAGAACCATTGCTCTAAAGCCTTTAGGCGTGGTAGTTGATACTTTTATGTTGTCAAGGTGTTATGTCTTTTATCACAGTTTGATAACACATTTGAAGCATGCATTTCCACTCCTGTAACTAACCTTGGACTTCTCATGGTAGCATCTGCTCATGGCTTAGTGCATTGCAGTGTTTGTGTATGGCACTCTTTCCTATTTTTATGTTTTGCCTTAGTGTGTATATACAGTGTGCATGCAGGTGCTGGTGGAGATCAGAAGAAGGCATTAGATCCTGGGACTGGAGTTAGAGATGGTTGTGATCTACTGTGTGGATTCTGGGAGCCAAACTCAGCTCCTCAATAAGTGTTTTTAACTGCTGAGCCATCTCTCCAGCCCCTCACACAGCATTTTCAGTGGCTCTGGTTATAGAGGTTGGCATTTTTTTCTTTGAACATGAAAGCATGTTTTCTTCCTTGTATAATGATTGGTCTGGTATACTAGTAAAAACTGACTACAAACAATTTGATAAGTATTATTAAATACTACTGGTTTTGTAAAATAAAAGAAAGTGTGTATATTTTTCATAGAAAAACATTTAAATAAATTTGGAGATTTTTAATAGAGAAATTCTCCAACTATGTTATACTTCTCTTGTTAAACTTGGGAAATATGTAACAACAGAAAAAATATAAAAATAGCTGTTTTCTTAAAGAATAAACAGATAGCTTATATAAGATTGTACTAACTTCACTTGCAACCTTGAGACGTGTTTGTTTTTGTTTTTTTTTTTTTTTTATTGTAAAATGCCACGGAAAGTGTATGTGACAAGGTAGGTAGGTGTTCTTTTCCGGAGAGGTTTCGTGTGCTAACCTGAGGTCTGCCCTTAGCCTTCAGCTTCGGATTGCAACTCGAGGTGCTGAGCAGCTGGCAGAAGGCGGCAGGATGGTGTACTCCACGTGTTCTTTGAATCCCATTGAGGATGAAGCAGTAATAGCAGCTCTACTGGAAAAGAGTGAAGGTGAGCATGCGTGCAGCCGCTCCTAAAGTGAAGAGTGAGCAGGCTGTGGGTGAGGCAGGGGAGGATAGGGCTTGACTATCTGCATGTATGTTTAACCCATTGCCTGAAACTCTGAAAGTGAGTGTCATAGAAATTGGCTTCTGCAATGTTTATCACATGCTGTGAAAAGCTTGGAATCTGGAAGCCTGAGGACAAAGTTGTGCTCATTTTTCTCCAATGACAAAATGACTATAATGTGAGGCCCTTATTACATTGGTGTATGTAAGTGTTTAATGGGTAGAATGATCCCCACCGATCACCTCATCACTAAGTGTGCAGTATAGTATGCTAGGTCGACTGACGTGACTACAGCTTTTACCACCATCTATCTCAGTTCCTCATCCTGTAAAACTGAGCTGCAGGTTGTTGTCTGTGTCCCCTGCTGCCACCATTCCCGTTTTTTCTCTGCACTTGTGACTCTAGGGTCCTACTGCAGCTGTCTTCTCATGGCTGTTAGTTTCATTTCATGTGTGAATGAGCAGTGCCCAGTTGTCTGTGTAAACCTACCTTGTTTTCCAGATCATCAGTGAGTGCACACTTGGTTTTCTGCTGGAACTCCTGTGAACTTGAGTTTGTGAACACGATGTGTTAGGAGTCTCTTAGATAGCCTGCTTTCTGTGCTTTGGGTGTGCATCTGGAAGGGGATTCCTGAATCCTTTAGTAGCTCTTCCAGTGTTGAGGGCTACAGGGCTGCTCTTTGTAGTGAGAGTGTGGTAGCACATCCTGAACACCCGGGTTCCAGCTGCAGCATGTGCTGTGGTTTTAGTACCCATCCCAGTGCTGGGAGGTCTTAGATGCTGAATTATACTGAGACATCAGACAGGCATCATTTTCAAACCGTATCCCAAGACAGCATTTGTACAATGCTTTCTAAGGGCTTCACTTTCAGCATTTGCCAAGTGTTAGCTTTCCTCCATCAACCTGTGCTAGAGTTGTCTAAAAGCAAACAGGCTTTTTTTTTTTATGTTTTGATATCACAGTACAGACACATGCTATCCTTGTGAACATGGAGGGAGTCAAACATAATGTGGACAGTGCACTAATTGAGGCTCAGCATCCAGCACTTGCTGTCCCTTGTGTTAAGGTGTGCCTCAGTTCTGTCTGTACTGGGCTGTGCAGACCTTTAGATTGAGATTTAATATACTATATTTGTAATCTTGCACTTTGGCCTTGGTAAAGGTAGGATTTTGAAACAATTGTTTCAGTAGTATTTAACTTCTAAAAGTGCGTGTGAAGAAGGAAACTATAGTTATGTCATACCTGGAGACACTCTGGGTCAAGTGATAATTGAACTTGCTCAGATTTATGTCTGTTGCTGACTTTTAGAAAAGATAGGATTCTGGTAGTGACAATGGCAGACTCTAAACCTGTCTTTTGCTGCAGCGTTGTTTCAGAGCTGTGAGAAGCATTCGGCACCCTCACATCTACAGCTAGTTCCTATCACTGCCCAGTAGCTAGGCTAAGCCAGGAAGAAGCCCTGTGCTCTCAACACGAGGAACAAGGAAACAGGGGAACTGAGTCAAGGCCAGGCTGAGCTCCACAGGAGTCTTTTTTTCAAAAGCCCAGGGTTGGGATGTAGTTCAGAGACAGTCCTTGGCTGGCAAGACTAGCCCATGGGGTTAATCCCCAGCAATGCAGAAACAGAACCCTCTCAAGGTGATTATAGGATTTGAGGGAGTCACACTGATTGGTAGTGCCTTCTACTGATGTAAAATAAAATGACTGGTTTCTTGGTGAACAGTCTCCTTGACCAGAGTGGGTACTAACTGCAGCTAATCTCACTTGAAGCACAGGTTTGATGGTGACAAGAGCCTTCCTGCTGTCATCAGTCATGGTATTGGGTCCTGGTCACAAGATTTAAATAGAAAATGGAGTGCATAGAGTACTTAAGTGCCAGGAAATCAAGGAATATCAGATGCTCAGAGTTGACACCCACTTGGATTAAGTGCTCAGAGCTGTAGCTGGAGGAAAAATAGCTCACAAGTGTGGAGACTAAAGATGTCTGCCCTTTTTGTTTACTCTGAAGGAGGGAGATTCTTAGAGCAGACTCCTTTTGTGAAAGGCTCCCCTGGCAAGTATCCCCTTGGAGGCCTTTTGGTTTGTTTATATAGTTTTTCTGTGCTTTTCTAAGGGGCTTTGTTGTTTCCCTCAAGTCTGTATTGGTAGCTGGGTGAATGTTGACTGATGGCTCCGCTGTACAGCTTTTTACAGTGTCACTCTTGGAGACCACAGGACCAGAGCATGTTCACAGCTGCCCTTCTGTAAGGCTGCCACAGTTGTGCCCAGTGAGCTACTTCGAAAACTTTTGGGGATGTAGAACTTTATGGTTGAACTCAGACAGAGATCACCTGACCAATATGTGTAGAACAGACCTGCCTCTGATTTAGAATTCAGACGGGGCAGACAGGCGGCAGCTCAGTGCAGTTAGACTTCCAGCTTCAGTGTGACTGCAGTGTCTGTTTTAGCATTTTTTCTGAGTTTTGATTTACATTTTAAGAATAAAGTTAAATGACTTTAACTTTAACTTTAACTCGTAAACTTACTCAACTGAGCCTGTCATCACAGTCTGGTTTGAGAGCATTTTTCACCCCAAGAAGGTTCCTGTGCCCGTTAGCATTTGCTCCCTGTCCCACTCTAAGCTGCTTTCTCTCGGTGGATTTGCATTCTCTGGACAGTCTTACAGTGGAGCCATGCTCTGTGTACTTTATTGTGGTTTCTTTGAATGGGCACAGTGTGGGAGCCTCTGGGGTTTTTCTTGTCTCTTCCTAGGTGCTCTTGAGCTTGCTGATGTATCTGCTGAGTTGCCAGGACTGAAGTGGATGCCTGGAATCTCACAGTGGAAGGTAATCCTTTGATGAGGCTTTATTTCAGAGGACCAGAGACACCTTGAAAAAGCCACACACATTGGGAAACATTTGTGTTTGGGTATGTTAAGTGCATCACCTGGTTGTACAGTACGGATTCAACTTACAGAGTCTGTGTAATGACAAATGCTATAATTGCATGTCTTTCTCTCTATTTTGTGTTTCATATGGATCTCATGTCCATAAATATAACCTTGTTACTTTTTTTGTATGTGTGTGGTCTGCAGTCCAACTTTGGTTTAATAGACAAAACTGTTCCCTTTGACCTTCTTGCGCAAAACAGTCTGAGACTTGTTTTACAAACAAAAGAGAAAGCTGTTGGTGGACTTGATGAGGTTTTTCTCGGACTTTGGGGTGAAGGTATTTATATGGCCATCACACCTCGACCTGTGTACCATGTGTTCTCCATTGTGGTGGTGCTGCTGGTCTCTGTACAGGTCATGACTAGAGATGGACAGTGGTTTGCAGACTGGGATGAGGTTCCCCAGGGCAGGCATACGCAAATCCGACCTACTATGTTCCCACCAAAGGACCTGGAAAAATTACAGGCAGTGCATCTAGAGCGATGGTAAGTTTGTGGGTACCGTGGGCTTTGGGATGGGGAGGTAGTCTGTCAGATTGATGAACTTGGTGCCCGTTGTTTATTAGCACTGCTGTTTATAAATATTGGGAGTGGTTAGAATCTCAGCGTTATTACATAGGAAGCTGCATATGCTTTCCATCCTGTATTTGTTTCTGGATAGTAATTGTACAAAGCAGTGGCCTCATGACAGCTCCATAAATGCATATAGTGTACCGTGGTCATTACATTCCTCCATCCCTGTCTGGTTCCCTTTTCTTTTCCCTTGTTCCTCTCCATGGCCTTTACAAAGATGATACGTAAAGGGCTGGGCATACATGAATGGGGCTGAGCATCTTAAGACCAGAGCACATCGTCTTGGTAGTCAGTCCAGTACCAAAGAACGGTGTGGATCATGGTGTTCTGTATGTGTGCTGTTTTAGCCTTCGAATACTACCACATCATCAGAATACTGGAGGGTTCTTTGTGGCTGTACTGGTGAAGAAAGCACCAATGCCATGGAATAAGCGTCAGCCAAAGGTAAGGACCTTCAAATCCCAACAGCTTGACAGAGTGTTTGTCCTTACTCCTGTTCATACAAGGCAAAGCTTACAAATTAGTTCACTTGAAGTGGGAGTTTTGAGGGTGTTAAGAGAGGCAGGGCCTAAAGGAAGAGGGATTCATTTCCATTTCAGATTTTCTAAAACACAGGTATTTCTCACAAGGGCCATGTTTGGGGAGCACGTTCTGTCTCTTTCTTATCCCCAGCTACCTAACAGCAATTGAAAGGATGTGAGATTGACTGTGGGCAGTACTAGGGGCTCTGAGTGTGAAGTCCTCAGACATTTACTGACCTACACACTGGGGTTCATTCTGCCCACTGTAAGTGCTGGCCGTGAGTGGGACATTTTCCTCTCATCTGTCTCATTTGAGAGGCTATAACAGCTTTCTCAGCCTCAGTGCATGGTTCCTCTTAATACTGTACCCTTTTCCTTATTAGCCATTGCCGTCTGTGGTTATAGAATGTGTTCAGGAAGTGTTGTGCAAACCTCTATTTCTTCAAGGTCATGTTGGATTAGGACTAAGGCTGCTCAGCTTTGAAAAAACAGACAGGCACTGTTTTCTTAAAGAACAGCTGTCTCTGGCAACTGTTGATCCAGCTTCTGGCTGATAGAATTGAGACTGTGGTTCTAAACCTGGGGAGTCCCAGCCCCTCGGGAATAAAGCTTACAGCTGTGTTCTTTCCTGAAAGAGGTAAGATGGCAGTCTACATTTTTCACTAGTGTGCTAAAAAAGTAAAATTAACTTTACTAATAAATTTTACTTATGCCAGTGTATTTAAAATGCTGTTTCTAAGTAGTTGGTTGAGGTATAGTATCAGGACACCTTGTATTCTCTCACAGTGTGTTTCAACAGTGGCATGTGTGCGTGATGTAGTTGTTTGGAGCTGGTGTTGAAACGAGAGCCTTTACCTATGCCAAGCACATGTTCCACCACTTGGCTCTGCCTCCAGCCCCAGAAGTGTGTGTTTTGGGTGTGATGCATCTTGGCTTGTACTGGTGGTATTATCTGTGCCTTGTACCCGTAGCTGGTGGCTCTGAGCTGTTGGAAGCAGTTTAGAGGCTGTTGTGAGTATGCAGTAGGTTGCCCTGGCCCTCAGGTGCCTTCTGGTTTCATGTTGACCTCTTCCATTTTCCGGTTGATACATTACCTTGTATAGTTTGCTCAGTTCCATGTTAGCACATCTTTCTCATTTCTGGTCTTCTGTCTCTTACTCAGTTTTGGGTTTCTGGCTTGCCCTGTGTGTGAGTGAAGAGTCTGCACTGCTGGGGACACACTCTTTATGAGGTGGTATCATGGGGAGACAAAGACCATCAGAATTAAAGCCACAGACATAGCTGTCTTTTCAGGGAAGGCTGGCACTGTGGGTAATGGGCTCTTTGGGATACCTCTTGAGACTGTTGCTGTGCCTTGGATTTGGCTTTTAACAACGTGGTGACTTGGGGGAAAATCAGAACTTGCCTGTGCTGGAGCATTCTAAATTGTAACATGGCAGTGGAACTAAGATCCCTTCTCTCACTGCTCTTCAGACACAGAAAGAACATGGCTTTGTGGGTTGTTTGCTGTCACTCATGGTTGAGCCTCGGGCTTTGTGTAGACAAGTGTGCCAGAATACAAGTGCATCCCTAGGCTAAAAGAGTTTCAATGTGTGAACAAAATGTTTTACTTGTACTCTAAGCCAATTGTGTATCATAGTTGCCCAGTTCCCCCCAGTTCCTGAAGCCGTGGAAGTGTGCCCTCCTTGTTACTTGCACCATGGAATAGCTCCCACAGCCCCCTTTGTGTCATTAGTTAAATGCCTATGCCTAACTGTGCAGGAATGTGGGTAACACAATCTCACATTCTCTTGAGCATCATGTGCCTTACCCAGAGCAGACTAGAGGTTACTGAGTAAGAGCAGGCTGGCTCTGTAGGCTTCTGTTCTTTGTAGAGTCAGCTCTGAATGACCAGTGCCTACAGATCCCATTTGTAAGAGCAAATTTGAGAAGCAGTATGTTTTAAAAAGAGAGTATTTTTTTGTCTTCCAGTGCTGTAATGCACAGTGCAGCAGGTTGATAGGAACATACTAGTTACAATTTTCTTGCAGTGGAGTGTGTTGCTTTTATGTAAAATTGAACTTGTTCTCTTCAAAAGGTACAGAGTAAGTCTGCAGAGCCCAGAGAGACCGCAGAGTCCAGCCCTGTAGCTGCTGCAGAGGGGAATTCCAGTGGAAGTCAGGTGATCACTGGAGCTGCAGACTCAGAAGGAACACACACCACTGAGAACACCGAGAGCACTGAGAAGAAAGATGGCGTGTGTGGGTGAGAAGACCACATCTGAGCATGGCTGTCTTATTCTCATGGCCCTTGTTAAACTAAGTGGGATCCCAGAGCCTCAGCCTATGTTTTATGTTCCGTGGGTTAGAAAGCACCCCACAGCTGGGGTCCAGCTTACAGTGCAGGGCTGAATGCTGAGTGGGTCGGGATGAGGCTGGTGGTGTCAAATGCTCCTGCCACAACTACTGACTGCCTTACCTCCTCCATATTTCCACAGCCCTCCTCCATCAAAGAAAATGAAGTTGTTTGGATTTAAAGAAGATCCGTTTGTATTCATTCCTGAAGATGATCCTTTATTTCCGCCTATTGAGTAAGGATCCTTCCATTTGAGTGCCACTTTAGAAAGCTGATTGTAGTCAAATGCATTACCAATCACACACACAACGGGTATGTTGTAGTTAGCTCTCTGTCCTGTTTGTGCATTAGAGGTGGCCAGTCCTTGAGAGGTGTCCCAGCCCTCTTCATTAAGTTGGAAAAGAAAGAACCACGTGGAGGTGAAGGTGACAAGAAGTGCTGTCAGCTGGGACCCAGTGTAGTTCAACTCACTCAGTGGGGTTAGCAGGCAGTGGCCAAGACTCCTGGTCTGCTCTTACTTAGGAAATTGAGGAGCAAGTAGGTCTGGGTGGGAATGCAGTTGTCCTGCATAGGAAATACAGAAAAGCATACACTGTAAAAGCTTTAAGGTTTGGCCCAGAGCAGGAGTCTGGGTTCCTCTTCATTGGGGTAGCAGTTGGTAGAACAGCTGCCTTGGTAACAGCCTGTAGCCTGACTGTGCTCTGGGCAAAGCCTGCTTGTGATTTGAGGCAAGGACAGGCAGATTGTCTAGAGTTAGATTCTGCTGGGGGCTGTAAGATGCATAAATGGTCTGCCCCTGGACTGTGTGTAAGTAGACACTACTTTGTTGACAGGAAGTTTTATGCCTTGGATCCCTCGTTCCCAAGGATGAATTTGTTAACCCGAACTACAGAAGGGAAGAAGCGGCAGCTTTACATGGTCTCCAAGGAGCTGAGGAATATACTGCTGAACAACAGCGAGAAGATGAAGGTGGAGGGCTGGGGCAGGGGCGGGGGGCTCAACTGAGTACAGGTAGGGCCTTGCACACCCCCACTGGTTTCACTCGGGAGGGGCAAGGCCCAGTGTTTCCACATTGTTCTCTCCCTGGACGGTTTTCCTTAGTTTTGCCAGCCTGCTGGCTGTGCTTCCTAACAGTGACTGTCAGCTCCTCATGGGTCTTCTGGGCTGCCAGGCAGTGACAGAGATGTCTCTGTCTTGATGCACACTGAGAGGTGTGCGGCTTATTCTTGAGTTTTATTGTTGACTTTTCATTGTTGTCATGATGCTGTGGACATAGAAGTAGTTGGAGCTATGAGCCGATTCTTGGAAACCAGTTCCAGAAAGGGCCATTTCTCTGCCCATCCCTTTTTAAAGCTGCTTACTGCTGCCTGTAGTGGAAGGGGCAGCAGTGAACTGGTCTTGATTCCTGTTTCATCTCATTTGTAACATACAGGTCATTAACACTGGAGTCAAAGTCTGGTGTCGAAACAACAGTGGTGAGGAGTTTGACTGTGCATTTCGTTTGGCACAGGAGGTAATTTGGAAAGGGATTTCAAAATCCTAGCTATGGTTAATGGAAAATAGCCACAGAGGGACCTTCTGGCGTGTCACTTGGGTTCAGTACCTCAGGGCTGGCTGGAACTGAACTGGTCACCTCAGAGGTCCTTCAGTTTCTCCAGGGCCTGGGTTTCTTTGGGGCCTTGACCCAGGGGAGAGACTTCAGTCAAGTCCGGAACCATACAGAGAGCCCTTCAGTAAAAGTATACATGGGGATTACAGTGGTCTTTCTTGATCTTGCAGGGGATATATACATTGTATCCATTTATTAATTCAAGAATCATTACTGTGTCCATGGAAGATGTGAAAATACTGTTGACCCAGGAGAACCCATTCTTTAGAAAACTGAGCAGTGAGGCCTACAGTCAAGTCAAGGACCTAGGTGAGTAAAGGGAGCCAGAGGCTGGGGTGTGTTAGTTTTGTGAGGACTGCAAATAATAGGTGCACATTTCTCAGCTGAATGTGTCAATATGGGCTTCTGTATTGACACATCCTCAGGGTCAACCAGCCATGGATTGAAAATATTTGAGAGGAAGAAAACAGTCGTGCCTGGCCAGGGATGTGCTCAGTTGACACAGGGTTTCCCTTGGCATGCTTCAGGTCCTTGGGTTTGGTCCCATAAATTATAAACTGAGCATGCCTGTAGTCCAGCACTTAGGAAAATGTCAGGAGGATCAGAAATTCAGGGTCATCCTTGGCTACACAGCAAGTAATGTGGAATAACAACTGTTTATAGGACATTCATCTCGACATAACGTTACAGAGGCTGTGAATGGATTCTGCCATTTCACATGAAAGAAGCCCTTTTTGAGGGTTCTTCCTTTGTCCCTTGTGGAACCCCTGCTTCTACTCAGCAGTGCCCGCTGAGTTTAGAAAGCACTTGAGCCTGACCCCTTAAGCCCTGCTTGGCGGAGCCTTTCTGAGCTCTACACTGTGTGGGTTCAGGTCACCTGGCACCTCTGGGCTCTTGTACACATCTTGTAGGGCTCTGGACTTAATGTTTCCATATGTTAGGCTAGGAGACCAGCAGTCTTGGTTGCACTGTCCTCTTTCAGCACATAAACTCCTGCATCAGGTCACTGGTGACATCTTCACCAAGTGCCCCTATTGTGCTTGTTCCTTCGTTTGCACTCTTCTCTCATGTGTCTGCTGGTGTGTACAGCTCAGTCTGGGGCAGCCACATGGTCCTGGCTGTATATGATCTCATCTCACCTGGTGTGCGTCAGAGGCCTACAGGTTCATAGCATTCCTCCTCAGCAAAACCACAATTCAAAGCAGAGACTGTTTGAAAAACAGACAAAAATGGGAACTTTATATTTCTTTCCTTTTGAATCCTCATGAAGGTTCACTTTATTTTCTATCTTTTGTTGGGGATGGGCCATGTGTGTGCCATAGTTTGCATGTAGAGGTCAGAAAACAGCCCGCAGGAACTGGCTCCCTCCTCTCACTGTGGGCTCTGGGATTGAACTCCATGCTTTGCACCATTTCTTTCATATGTTTGAATGTAGATTCTTGTCTTTCTATAGTGGCTCCTATTTTTTGTTTGTTTCCTCTCTACATACCATTAATTGCTCCTCTACTTGGGCCGTTATATTTTTCTGTTTTTCTTTGAGAGCTCTGTTCATTTCCTCTTTTTGTTCCTCTAATACCTGCATAAGCATAGCTTTAAAGTCATTTTCCTGTGTTTCCGCTGAATTAAAATACCCATTGATTTGGGGGGTTGCTGGTAGAGACATGATGTCCTGATTTTTGTTGAGTGTGTTCTTACGCCAACCTCTGGCCACTTGCTAACCTTCACTGTTTGTTCCTGAAGTCTGACTTCAGACTGGAATTGTCTTTCTCTGGTGTCTGGAGTATTCTTCAGGAAGATGAGAGAGGTCCAGTAGTTTGAGAGTGTGAGTTGTTGCTTCAGCTGTACTTGAGGGAGGAAAAGCCACTGGCGCAGAATCGCTATTACGGGGGAGTAAGCGCTCGTGTGTGTGTGTATGTGTGTGTGTGTGTGTGTGTGTGTGTGTATGTATGTGCGCGTGTGCGGAAGTGTCTTGCAGGAGAGAGTGCTAGAGAGTATAGGTGCTTGGAATATGGGGGTTGGGAGCAAGCGCAGGAGGGGATGTGGATGCTAGTGCTGTTCGCAAGCACAGATTGCGGGCGCAAAGCGCCTGTGCTGGTTTCCAGACTCCCTAGTCTGGCGGGCTCTGGGGGCTGGACTCTGAGCTCTGTAGCTGACGCTGCGGGCGGGACGCTGTGGGCATAGCAGGCTGGGCTCTGCTTTCTGAGTTGGAAAGCGCTATGTGCTTCCTCTGCCTCCTCCCCCTCAGGCAAGGAGGGAGATCAGGGTTTGAGTGTTCTCAGTCTCAAATCTCAAGAAGGGAGATCTGTGCTTGAAGCAGCCAGCACTGTGTTCTTTGCAAGTTGCTGTATGCACTGCAGGCCGCCTCCACTGCTGGCTGCAGTACCTCAGCCTCTGCCTCCGCTGCTGGCAGTGGTACCTCCGATGCTGCTTCTGCCTGTTATGGGGAAGTGCCTGGGAATTGATTCCCCAGGAGAGGTCCACGGAGATGTCCGAGGTTGACCTGTGCCCTACTGGACTCAGATCAGGGTTTGTCCCCCTTTTCCCCTCAGTGTTTTGGGTTCCACTGCCCCTCCACTCACCAGTTCAGAGTTTTAGCTCCTCTGCCCCTCAAATACAGTGCGCGCTGGTTGCCGCCATCTTGGTGTAGTCCTCCCTCCCCCCAGGATTGAACTCCAGGCCAGGCTTCGGGCATGGCCAACAAGCTCTGGGACCAGCTGAGCTGTCTCGCTGGCCTCCCCCTGCACTGAGATGATGAGCTAGAAGACTTGGTAATTCTCGTGGCATTTTGTGTTGTGTATAGGAGTTGGGACTGTTTAACCTTGAGTGTTGAGACTAGACTGGTAGTGAACTCTTATCCTCCTGCTCCTTCCTCAGAGTTGTACTACATACTGCCTGTGGGCGCACACACTCTCTTTCTCTGCATCCTGCTTCAGTCTCTGCCTGTTGTTCTTCCTATGATGTTTGGGCTCCGCTGTTGACTGAGAACGATTTTTCTTCTACCTGGAGCCTCAAGACCAAAAGCTCACTGACCCCACTTGAAACAGCACACACATCTGCTCAGTAGTTGTGGCCACTAAGTGAAAACCTTGGCACATGTCTCTTTTTCTGTTCTTTCAGCAAAGGGAAGCGTTGTGCTGAAGTATGAACCAGACTCTACGTAAGTGTACATGCCTCACTGTTGGATAAGTAGCTAGGCGTGGCAGCTTATGGTGTAACCACAGCTTTTGAAGGCTGGTGCAGGACAGTTCCAGATTGTGGGGTTTTTAGGACCTTGCCCTTGGGGAGTTCCATGTAGCAAAGGTAATGATGGGAGCTGCCGGGTGGCAGGAACAAGACTGCACCTGCTGGGAACTGGGAGCATTGGGGGTGGCATGTCAGTATTGTCAGAGACAGCTAACAAGGTGTTTAATGCTCACGTGGGACCTTCTTTGTTGGCAGGAATCCAGATGCCCTCCAGTGCCCCATCGTGCTGTGTGGGTGGCGGGGAAAGGCCTCTATTCAAACTTTTGTACCTAAGAATGAGCGGCTTCATTGTCTCAGGATGATGGGCGTAGAGGTGTTGGGAGAAAAAAAGAAAGAGGGTGTCATTCATCCCGATGAGAGTGTGGCCAGCCCAGAGCAGCCTGAAGATGAGGAGGGTTCTGAGCATACAGCGCAAGAGGCCTGTGTCCCAGACACCGTCCGTGGCTGTGACCCGGCTGCAGCTGAGCCATCCCGGTGAAGACAGCTGCACACACAGAACTGGTACCATCCCTTGGTATTGGAGGTGAAATCTAGACTGTCCTTAGCTTTGAAATGTATTAAGACCTGGAAATGGGTGGGTGGCAGCAGTCTGGGGAGAGCTGTGTTTTCTAGCATTTAGGAATCGCTTTGGCAGAGTGGATCTATGTTTCTGCTACTAAAGGCTAATGTGGAACAGCCTTTGCAGAAGTTCAGATCCTTTGTTGGGCCAATACTGGCCTCATCTTTTAAACTTTATTTATAGTAAATATGTATACCTCTTTAGGAAGGAGCTCTGCTTTAATACTGTTTGGACTGCACATTGGTGTGCCATGTGATGATGGTGACACATTCATGTGCCATGTGTGGTGATGCTGACACCTGAGGCCTCAGGTGATTTCTGTGCCTTTGTGATAAAGGGTGAAGTAAGCCATCCCAGCGCGAAGACTGGTGAATCATGACAGCAGTTTTGGGGTCCATTCTGTGCTTATCCAGGAGGTGCTTTAAGTGGGGTCTAAAATAAATAAAGAGCTATTGTAATAGTGTGTCTCGGCATGTGACTTGGATTTGTTCTTAGTTGGCTAATGGGAGAGAAAACCAAAGCCCTCTTGTCTCTGGAATAGGCACTGAAGCAGGGCTGCCACAGGGTTGTCAGCCAGTGTGTCCTGAGTGGCTTCCTGCTTCATTGAGACACACGGAACTGGGGTGTGCTGGATCCTTGATGTTTTAGCACAGAACCAAGTGTATGCTGATTGAGCCATCGATGGTGTCTGATTTAAGGCTGGAGAGGTACAGCAGGGCGGAACAGACTGTGTCTCCTGCCTGGCTTCCAGGAGTGCCGGCCTGGTCACCTCTCTTATTCTCAGCAGTGTTTGTGACCTTTTCCAGCATGGAGCAGCTTCTTCTGTCAGCCTCCTGCTCAGATGCGACCTCTGGCTTTGCTTACATTGTGCACAGGTGCAGGGCAGATATTATACCCGTGATGTCTTTGTCAGCAGGGTTTTCTCCTTACTCAGATTCTTCAGGCAGAGTGTTTGGAGCAGCGTTTCCTTTCCTGCATGTGTAATGTCTTGTGATTTCTTCTCTTACAGTGGTGACAGCTTTGCTCCTTGGAAGACGCCTGCCTGCCATGGTGCTCCACTCAGATATTTGCATTTTACAGGGAGATTTTTCAAGACTATGTGTGTTCTTTTTCCTTATCAGACTTCGACAGCGTTAACATCTTTTTTGAGACATGGTTTTGTTCTGCAGACCAGGTGTCCTGAACTTGAGAACCTCTTGCTTCAGCCTCTAAAGTACTTCGCTTATAAGTGTGATGCCATGCCCCACTGTAGATGCTGTCTTCTAGAGACCCTCTGAGCAGACGAACCATGCTCTGGTTTGACTCTTGCTCAAATCCTTCTGCTGGGAGTGCCGGCCAGGTGGTACTCCTGGCTGCTACACCCAAGATTCCAATGAATGGTTAGAGTGAAGAATGGTCTCTTCTCAGTCTCAGTAACAGCTGTCAGATTCCCATAAAGTGCATTGCAGGAGGAAAGACATTTACCTGTGGGATTTCTTGGCCTTGCACAGAGCAATTGTGTGAGCTTGTATTTCCTAAGTGGTCACTGAAGTGTACTCATGGAGCATGTATAAAGTAGCAGTTGCCTCTGTGGGTGGAGCAAAAGAATGACAGACTTTTAAGTAAACACTTATGTGGCTGGAACGAAGTCTCAGATCAGAACACTTGCTTCTCTTGCAGAGGACCTGAGTTCAGTTCCCAGCACCCATGTTGGGTAGCTCACAGCTGCTTTTAACTCCAGGGAAGATAACCACCTTCTTCTGGTTTCTGCATGTTCTTGTACAAGCACATAAAGTATGATGGATAAAGTATGAGTAAAATGATGCTTCCTCTGGTCACAGCCCAGAGCAGGGGTGCTGAACTTGTGCTTGCAAAATTATTCCACATATTGTATATAAGAACAGAAGGTCCTGTGTCGGCACATGACCTGGGAGGGAAGTGGAGAGCGGCTGCTTAGGCAGAAGTAAGCACCTGGCGTGAGCCTGAGTCTGGAGCTCACTAAACCGGAAGAGTGCAGGAACTGACAATACTGGTTTGCCTCCAGGGAGCGACCTTCAGTGGTTGAGACCGAGGTCGATATATAAATGTTGAACTAGGGAGATTTAGGGCTAAGTAACTATAGAGTACAGGAGACAGCCATACACATGAGAGTCCTAAGGGTGGAACTGTTACTGCCATCCATAGCCTTGGGGATATTTACATAGCTACACTGATGGCTGAGGTACTCAGCGATCTGAGCAAATGGAGCATTGCCTGTCAGCCCTCTTACAGGGGAAGGCTTAGCCAGATGAGGCCAGTGACTTGTACTGATTCTGTGGCCATCACCAGGCCTTGGTAGTGAGGACTTTGAACTTGGGATTCCATGCCCTTGTGGATTCTTCTGTCTTTTGTTTGGGGGTTAGCACACATAGTGACTTGTTGATAGTGTAAGGGATGAGGGCAATTAGTTGTAGAAGATGGATTTCCATCTTTCTGACTGTCAGGTCCCCCAAGGACTCTTGGGATTCAGCATAGTCATTCTTACAGCTTTTCTTTGCTACAGTGGAAAACTAGAAATGCAGCAATGGGGGCTGTTCTAGTTAAGTGACCTAGTTAAGGTCACTATTGCTGTGATGAAATTCGATGACCAAAGCAACTTGGGGAAGAAATGAGTTTATTTTGGGTTACACTTCCAGGTAATAGTCCAACAATGAGGGAAGTCAGGGCAGGAACCTGGAGGCAGGAGCTGATGCAAGGCCATGGAGGGGTGCTCCTTACTGGCTTGCTCATCATAGCTTGCTCAGCCTGCTTTCTTAAGGAATCTAGGACCACAGCCCACGGGTGTCCCCAACCACAATGTCCTGGGCCCTTTTCCATCATCCACTAATTAAAGTGTTTTACAGGTTTGCATACAGCCCTATTTTATAGAGGCATTTTCTCGATTGAGGTTCCCTTATTTTAGATGACAAGCTTATGTCAAGTTGACATAAAACTAGCCACCTAGATGTCTATAAATACCCAGAAATCTGTTTCTAAGCTATTTCCCAGAGTCAATACAGAGCTGGTTTCACCACAGTCTTCCAGGGAGGCTCAGCAAATTCCAAGCCCACGTTTTTCTTGGGGTCATATAGGTACCTTCTGTCTGGTATGTCTCAAACTCTAGGCTTCCATAGGAGAAGGACAAGAGCACAATGAAATCCAAGTGTCCAGAAGCCAGCTAAGGGGCAGCCTGTGTGGGGGCCTTTTTCTTCCCTAAGGAAGGAGATTCTGGCCCAGCACTTTGGGAGCTAAATCCTGCCAACAAAACCTTGTGAGTGAACTAAAAGCAGAAGACCATGGAGCCTTTTGGATTCTCTAGATCCACTGAGGTGGAAGTGATATTTCAGACCATTGAATTCTGTAGTAAGTGTGACTCACCAGCATTGATCCAAGGAGAAAACACCATAGGAGTACCCACTGGGGTCCAAAGCAACAGTGCTCTCTTGGGTTTCTTCTCTGCTGGGAATCCTGTCCATCCATTAAAGGCTTAATATCTCAATTTGATGTGGAATATGCATTGAGCTGGGGCTCTGTCTCGGTCCATGGTAGTTGAGGGCAGTGTTCGTTCTTCTGTAGAGTCAAATCCTCTGATCAAGGCCCTGACAGATTGTATGCTTTTAAGCATTATTTCCAAGTTAACAGGTATCCATCAGGCCGTTCTTTAAGAGCACTAACCCCATTCATGAGAACCACACCCTTCTGACCAAAGGCCCCAGCCCTCAGCAGCACTGATCTGAGGCTAGGTTTCAGTGAACACAGCAACATCGAAGGGCTTGGCAAGAGTTGAGGCCAGGCCTGCCTCACAGGTATCTCACTTGCAGAGAGACCACACAAGGTGAGCCACTTCTTTCCTGGGATGCCATGTGACTTTGCAGAAGAATTTTAGATAAAGCCCAGTAAGAAGTCTTCAGCAGTTCCCAGCTCTGAAACCAGTGTAAAGATCTGCACTTTGGGATGAGCACAAAGCGAATGAAGGGCTCCTGAGTCTCCTGCCTTATGGTGGTTACTTTGACTCAACTGGGAGAGGTGTCTATCAATTATGCCAAAAGTAAGTCCTTGCCTCATAGCTTTCCTGTGGGTTATGGACCTGGACTGTATGAAAGGAGAAACCACATGAACATAAGCCAAGCATGTTTGTTTTCTCTGCTGCTGACTGCGGGTGTGAGCCACACCTCACATCCCTGCCTTGACCTCTCCATAATAGTGGACTGTAACCTGGAACTGTGAGCTGAAATAAAATGCTGTTACCCTCCATTAGGGTATTTTATCATAGCAACTAACAAGACCAGGACAAATTGGAACTGAGAATGCATTGTTGCAGCATTAAACCTGACCATGTGGCTGTTGAGCCTCTGCAGTTGTTTTTGGAAAGACTGGAAGCACTTGGTACAGTGGCTACAAAACTACAGAATGCTGTAAGCAGAACCTAGGCTATTATAGCAGGATCTTGCAAGTCAGCAATGCTGAGAAAAGTGCAAACAGTGGAGACCCAGCTCCACGAGGCTCATGAGGATTCAGAGGGGAACAAGGACTCCGTCAATAACTGGACTGAGGGCCATCTTGATCAAGAATCTAGCTGTGTTTTGCCTATGTCCTGAGAGCGTGGGTAGGTTTAAGTGTGAAGATGATGAAGTGGTTTATCTGGCACAAGACATTTCAAAGCAGGTGGTATTCAGGCTGGTGCTAAAGAAAAAGCACCATTGTGAGACCCCCTGTACTGCAAGGAAGGACGAGGAAGGCTGTCCGGAAGCAAGTCCTCACCTTGCAGAACCTCCATTCTGTCAGAATCTGAATTCACTTGAAGAATGCCTACCATGAAGGGTTCTGTGGTCTACAGAGTCTGTGTAGTCCTGGCTGTCCTGGAACTCACTCTGTAGATCAGGCTGACCTTGAACTCATAGAGACCCACCTGCCTCTGTCTCTAGAGTGCTGGGATTAAGGACATGCACCAGCACTGCCCGGTTCGGAAGCTCATGATAGCGGTAGGCCAAGGGGCCTACATCTGGAGCTGGTAGCCAAACTTTGCAGGGCTATAAACATCATCCATATGGTGCTTGTTTTGAGGGCAAAGATGCGAGACTGAGGGAGGAGTCTTTAGAGAGCAGTTGAGGCTAGACCTCATGTGGCACAGTTGGGAGTCCCTGCAAAGAGGTCCCAGAACTGCTGCTGCAGGAAGCTACAAAGGTGAAGCCTTGGTGCTGTGGGGAGCCCAGGATATTGGAGATGCCAGGCCCTGAGGTGGTAACCAAGGAAAGCTGCAGGTGTGGAGTGGAGCTGGCCTGTGCTGAGGAGAGCTGTGTACTGCAGGTGTCAGAGCTGGGGTGGGTGGTGTGTGGGAGCCCCATCTAAGTAAGCCCTTTGGAGCTTAATTGATTACAAGTTGACATGGAATTGCAAAATTTGTTCTCCCTGTTGGATTTATTTATTTTATTTCTTTGCTTTTACACCCTGGTTCTTGAATTTGGAAA